GAAAGGCAGGTCCATACAGAAGTGTGGGTCCCGGGCTTGTGCTGTAGTTGTCATTGTCCCCTCATCCTCCTCTGGACCCCACGGCAATGCTGCATGCAGCTGATCACGACCTGCCTTCAAACCAGGCCTTGCTATTTCCTCTGATAATGGGGGTCACACAGGCCGCTCTGTGCAGGGCGGTGAATTCATTGCCCCACTTGAGGCCCACAGTCACCGGCTCAGGTAATTGTCACTGTTGTCCTTTAATAGACGGCCACCAGAGGCTCGGAGGCCTCCATCATTTCTAAGGCAGCCCTGCAGTACCCTCCTCTAGACCGATCTCTTGTGCTATTTTCTTCATAGTGTGAGTCCCTCCAGAATGATCTTTCTTCTTTTTTTGTTTACTTGTTCACGGTATCCCTCACCCTCATCTTACAGAAGTGTCAACCCCATGAAGGCAGGACCTTGTCTGCCTCTTTCCCTGCTCAGGGCCAACCACAGGGGTTGGCACAGAGAAGGTATATAGTAAATATTTGTTGACTGACTGACCGACCAACCAACTGAATGAATAAATGAATGAAATATTTGTTGAATGAACGAACCAGGATTCCTTCTCCCTTTTCTTTCTTCTTCTGATGGAGCACTCTTTCTGTCATTCTTGAGGAAAGTTCTGGAGACAGAATGAGCTTCCTCTCATATGTCCTGGGCAGTCTTCAGTTAGGCACTGAAGTCAGGGAGGGAGGAGAGGTCTTCCTGCCCTTGGGGACAGCATTTTCACACATAGGTCCCAGGTGAAATCAGTTTTGTGTACTGCAGTAAGAAAAACCAAAAGCCAAGTAAACAGGATAGACTAGACATCACACACAGAAGGTTAAGCATTTTGTTGTGACCCACACACGTTTTTATGGCTCTTGTGTAGGTGGTGGTCCCCAAGTAAAATGCATTTCTTTTTTTTTCTTCCAAGATTTTATTTAAATTCAAGTTAATTAACATATGTAAAATGTATTTCTTACTTCAAGTGTCGGTCACAAAAGTTGGAGCCCAGTGTGTGAATTTCAGTCATGGGAGATGTCATCCTTGAACCTGAAAGAGTACAAGCAACGAAATTAATGATCCTGCTGGTAACTATGATGTCAATTACTGAACACGGGTTCTGTGTCAGGTGGGGGTGCTTAGGTCCAGGGCCCTGCACAGAGGCGAAGGGGAAAGAGTCCAGAGCAGAGAGTGATCCTGTCAGCAGGGAAGACTGCCTGGAGGAGATGGAATGCGAACTCAGCCTTGAAGAACCCCTCTACCCTGGCAGGTTCAGGGCTGGGTCAGAGCGCAAACCGCGGGTGGCACTAATCGTAACGCTATCAAGAGGTGCCTTCGGTGAGCTCTGGCTGAGTACCAGGCACCCCCTCATTCCTCCAGACACTCCTGGGAGGCAGGAACCACTCACATCATTTTGCAAATGAAGACAATGAGACTTGAAAAATGTGGGGACTTTTAGGGTAGAGAACATTACGGAGGCTGGATACAGGGCACGTCTGCCCTGCTCGAAGACCAGGTCTGTAAGGCCTGGGCCGTACATGGAACGGGATTGAACAGAAGAGGGCTGCCACATCCTGGAGATGGGGCAGTGGGCCTAGAAGGCCAGACAGGTGCAGCAGGACCTCAGGCAGCCAGGGCAGGTGGAAATTGGACTATGCTGGGACTCAGACAGTAGATGTCTGATTACCTGAGCCTCAGAGGCCTCATGGCTCAGGGGGAAGACTGCAGGCTCTATGACACCCCCAGCCTCGCGGGCCCATGTAGGTCCCAGGTTGAGACCAAAGCAGTGCCCTGGGGAGCAAGGTTAGGTTGGCTTCCCACCCTGACTCTGTCCTTGCCTCAGCCCCACCCTCCTGTGGCCTGTGGTGGGCTTGAAAGGGAGTAAAGAGCAGAGCAGAGCAGAGAGAGGCCTGTTTCTCATCTTTCGTCTAGTCTCATCTTTGCTGGTTTGAACTCAGCTCCTCTGCCTCCCTGCAAGTCATTTGATCTTGTCAGGGAATAACTCTTGGCTTGAGAGTTCCCATGAGGGAACTGGGGTTCCCACAGCCTATGTTTCTGTGCAGGGACTGGACGTGGGAGCTCTCCTCCGACAGCACCAGCACCGGCTGGCTTGGGCAGAGGGACTTTGGAAGCTACAGACAGTTTTGGGAGTGTGAGTAGTGGGGTTACTGGCTGTTACTGGCTATTCTTTGTAGCTTTGGGCTGCGGTAGGTTGGTTTGTGTGTGTGCTACACATACTCACCTACACACACGTGCTCACTTGCATGTCCACACTCATGCCCATTGGACACTTGTGCACACATATACCCTTATTCACATCTCTGCAGACGTGAGCTTACACATGAACAACACAAGCACATACGTATGCACACACAAGTACACACACTTGTTACAGGGCTGTCAGTGGGGCCCTGGCATTCTTTAAGTCATGAGGTGATGTCTTAGGTGCTGGTGCGTGGGGAATGTGGGGTAGTCATAGCGCTGGGGGCGGGGTGTGCCAGCAGAGTGGGTGTAGGTCCTGAGCCCTTTAGTTTTTGAGGTCCTCTTCTAGGACCATTGATCCTTTCCCAGGGACTTTTGGGCTTCTGCTCTGAGCGTCTGGATCTCTCAGGAAGCTTCTGGGGCCTTTTGGGCTGAAAGAGTTGGCACAAAGGATTCTTCCCTCCTGCTTTGGGCTGGGAGAGAACAGAGTGTCTTCTCTAGTTCATACTTAGGGCTGCTCTATGTCCCTTCCTTCTTCTCTCCTTCAGTATTCAGCCCTCTCTTCCTCCCAGACCCAGGGTGGGACCTCTCTGGTCCTGAGCCTTTCTTGTGGCTGGGGGGGCCCCCAGCCTCATGACCAGCAGGGACTTGGCGGAACCTCAGGGGTTGGGGGTGGGCTAGTGAGACTGGGCACTGTGGTCCGGTGGACTCCCTGGTGTGACACTGAAACACCTTCAGGCCTCCAGCCCTTTCCTTCTGGGATCTACCAGCCGAGCCTCAGGGCTGTCTGTTGGAGCTAGAAGGGCTGCGATGGTTGGCTCTCCTGGGGACACCTCTGCCCTGGGGTTTTCTGCTTGATTCAACAAGAACACCTACTGTGTGCATGGTGGATACAAATGGAGGAGTTCGGCACTGCGCTGGGGACCAGTCAGAATTTTGTCTTCCGGGAGCTCAGTCTAGAGGAATAAACACAGACACAGCCCCCGGCCTCTGCTGGACAGTGAGGGAGGGTGAGCAGCATGTATGCACATTTGTGTATTTATGTGCACATGCATGCACGCGCATGCGTGTGTGTGTTTCTGTGTGCGCTTATGCTAGTGTGGGGGTAAGCACCCTTACTTTAGCCCCAGCCTCTAGGGACAAGTATCCAGGAACGCGGCACCCTCGGGATGGCAGGCAGGGGTATCAGGCATCAGTGGGGGATCGGGCAGCGGGTGGGGTGTTATGGGGTTGTGGCAAGAGGAGGAAGGAAAGGAATGGTGCCCAAGAATGGAGCGTACCATGTGCAACTTGCTAGCCCTAGACACTTCCTTGAAGGCAGACAGGCCTGCTTAGGGGGGAGGAACGTGGGGAAAAAGAGCTTATGTCACGTTTCCCACACCACATAGCCAGTAGACTGTGAGCCCATCTGAGCCTAGCTTGGACTCTCAAGGTGGTTAAGAGGCTTCTCTGGCCCCTCCTGGACTTCCTCTTCCCTTCTTTTGGCATATCTTGGGTGCAGCAGAGGCAGGCCTGCAGTGGAAGGCAAGTCTTCTCTGGGCCTCAGTTTCCCCATCCACTACAATAGGGGTGATATTAAGTCACAGTACTTATTTCATAAAATCATCTAGGTGAATGTAGCATTTGAAACCTGGGTGCTGGAGGCCGGATAAGAGAACCACAAACCACAACTACTCCTTTTGTTCTCATTCATTCCCAGGGCTGACCTGGGGGGCTGCGTGCCTCTCTTCCAGCCCAGCGCCCTCTGGCCTCACTCTGGAAAGAGGTGAGGGCAGCGCTGCGTTCGTCCTGGGTAGATCCGGCTCCCCCACCTCCTGCTCCTGTCCTGAGTGGGGGCCAGACAGATAGTGACAGGTGAGGAAGAAGGATTTCCCGAGTGTGGAGAGAGGGAGGAAGTGACTCACTAATCACAACAAATCCGATCTCCTGGAGGGAAGCCGCGGGGAGAGAGTGAACGCACGTGGGTGCCGGCGGAGGCGTGCCATCCACCGGCCTGCGTGGGCGGCTGGGGCGTGGGGAGTGAGAATCCGGCACCTAAGGGGCGGGGATAGTGGGAGTCACCGCCCCCCACTCATGGGGGTGGGGGCGGAGGGTCCCCTCCCCTTCCGAAGTTTCTGCCTCCCTCATCCCTTTAAGCCTCGGGTCTGAGGGGCGTCCAGGGCTTGGGAGAAGCCCACGGCTGAGCGGACAGTCTGCTCTACGGTCGCTGACACTGGAGTGGCTGAGGCCCGGACACGGCGATCGTCTCGCTCAGGTTCTCAGCACAGTGAGGCATTTATTCAGGCTCCCCGATGCTCATCGGAGTACCCCCGAGGCACGGGCGGCCGGGCTTTAAACAGCAGAGAAGGGCGAGGGAAGCTCCGGCCCGCCGATCGCCGGGGAGAGCTGGAGTCTGGGAGGGGGTGTGGCGCCGAGAGCATTCGCTTCTCTCTCCAGCCGGGGAGGCTGCATGGAGGGTTTGGGCATCTTCCAGCAGGAGCCGAACTAATGACAAGGGAAGAGGAACTGGCTTCTCATGCAGTCTCCCCCGCCCCAAACTTTTCCTCCCAGCGCGGGGTGGGCGGGCAGAGAGAGGAAGCGGGGCCGGAGAAGGTGGGGCCAGCCGTTCCCTCCCCGCCCCCGAGCCGCGGCTCTGGGATGCCAATCCCGACGCGGCTTGGGTGAGTGTGTCTTTAAATCCGAGCCCCCCGCCCCCGCGGCGGCTGGGGCGGGGGCTCGGGCTGGCTGGGGGCGGGAGCGGTGATTGGCGGCCGGGCCGGGTCCGCCTCTCGGCCGGGGGGCGCGGGGCGCGGGAAGCCGAGCTGCGCGCTGGGGTTGGGACGCGCATCTTCCAGCACCAGCGAGCGCGGGCTGAGGTTCTCTTGGCTTCTCCTCGTTGCGCCCGGCCTGCCCGCCTCCGGAGCCGCCTCTGCCCACGGATGGGCTGGGGAAGTTGGGAGGAGCGAGCCGGAGCCCGCGCGGGGCGCGCCCAGCCGCTGCCTGTCTTGGCGCCCGCAGTCTGGGCGCTGCGCACCAGCCACAGGAGCGCGGATGCTCCCCGGAGCCGCGGGCTGGCAGGTATCCACGCGTCCGGACCCGGGGTTGGCGATGGGAGGGCAGATCCGGAGTCCCCCGGGCACCCCCTTTCCTGGGGCGGCTCAGACCACCCACTCGCCATCCCCCGGCTGTGCACGCCTCCTGGGCTCCCGGAGAGGAGAGGCTCTGGGCTCCCATCCAAACCCGCACGGTATTGGTGCCTGGGAGAGAAGTGGGGACCTCAATAAAGAGTGGGCGGTTATTAGGTTGTTTGCCGGGCGCTGGGCTATCTCTCTCCTCCGCCAAGGTTTTCGCCCCTTTTGAGGGCAAGGCCTGGGGCACGGTGCCTGAGCGGCCTCACTGCGCAGTTGGGAGGAGGGAAGCAGGGAAGCCGACTTTCGATCCATGCATGGGGTCCCTGGACACATCTTTAAGTGGCTTGAGGCCCACGGAGCTGGTTAAAGTTATGAGGTCCCAGTGGGCTCAAGCTTTGATTCTGAGCCCCTCCCGCCCTGTCCCTCTGCAGGCCTGGGTCTCGGGGGAGAATCCCTTTTCATCTTCAGAGTTTTTTCCTGAAGAGTCAGTGACTTGTCAGCAGAGTGGGGTGTGGGAGAGCTGTTGCACCTGACTCAAAAGTGGCCAGCATGGTTGATACCTGTTCTTACCTCTTGGGGAATTGGAGATGGAAGAAAGTGTCCTGGCCTCAGGAAGCTTCTGGCACTCTTTACTCTCCCAACCAAAGGTCTAGGCACCCAGTCCTTGGCTTCCGCGTCCAGCGGCTGGACCCAGTGACCGAGCACCTCTTACATGCCAGGCCCCTGGCTCTGCTGGGGAGAATGGGAGTGTGGGAGGACTCAGGGTGCTGTCCTCAGGTGGCTCGGCCCTATGGGGAATGCAAGACAAACGGACAGAAAGTTTGCTGATACAGGCTTTCCATACCAGTCCCGGACTAATAATAGCGGAAATGCCAAGAGGCTCCGCATGATTAATTCCTACATAAGTGATGTAGGCTGCCATTGCTGGGGCGGGGGATGGGGTGGGTGCTGGGATCCCATTCTCAGGCAATCATATGCATATGTTTAAATCTGTTTAAAATGTTCTAGCACCATAGCCCTCTCCTCCCTGTTATCGTGCTCCTCGTGAGGACGTCTCCACCTCTGTGCACAGGTTGCAGAAAGGGGTTCCAGAGATTTCCTTGCCTCTATGTGTCCCCAGCCCCACTCTCAGGTTTTTTCCCGCTGGTAGATTTCTGAAGAAACCCTTTTGGTTTTTGGAGTTAGGCCAAGCATGGGACTCCCCCAGCTTCCCCGGGGCCTCTGAGGTTTGAGGTCTAGGTCTAGCCTTATGGGAGGGAGGCTCAGAGGCCGGGAGGGAGGAAGTCCACACTTCATTTCTGAAGAGCCTCTATTGCAGGGGGCTGTGGATGAGGTTGGAAGGCTGGAGGCCCTGAGCCAGGGTTTCCTGTGAGCACAGATAGGCTGTCTGTCTTTGCTGGCCATCAGGTATTGAAGTTGGGGTGATGGAGGCGTGGGGGGGTGGGTAGGACAGGGCTGGCTTGATGTGGGTGGTCCCAGGGCAGCGCTTACCTCACTCTGAGGTTCTGCTCTGTCTGGGGGCTCTGCCCCCTACCCCATCGTCCCTGGCAGGTTTCTGCTTTTCTGGATCGCTTTGCGGAGGTGGCATTGTGCGCATGGCTTTGAGCACTGTTCTGGGAGAGGGTGTTGCTCACCCCACGGCCCGTGGCTGGGATCGTGAGCACTTCTGTGAATACACCCACCCACCTCCAAGCCATCGGCACACACGGGTCACCCAGGCCCGGGTGGGGGACACTGGTGTGCCCAGAGATGTGAGTGTGCTTGGGTCTACAGCGATGTGGGCAGAGACTGAGGGGAAGCGGATGCAGATGTGAATGAAGACGGACACAGGAAGGTGACAGAGGTGGGCAAGCAACCTAGGGATACAGATGTGGGCCGGGGACATATAAACGTGGACCGCACATGGGCCACAGACACTGTGTAAGCAGATTAGGTCTCCCGGGGCAGGGGGCCCTGGAATCTTCCCACACGAGAGGCAGATGTATGATGGGTGGGCATATGGATGACGGGCACGGATGTGAGCTGACATTCAGACACTAGACATGGAGTCCCAAGGATGTGGCTTGAGTACCTGGCAGACTGGGAGTTGGCTGAGGGCTCCTGGGGAAATGGACACATATACCTGCTGAGTCACCCGACAAGAAGGCCCGGACAAGGACAGGTGGGTTCCGGGATGTAGCCTGAGGAGTGCACTGCTCGGTTATCCCTTTGATTCTGTGTGGCAGCAGGAAGTTGTCCCATTTCAGGTGGTAGTGGTGTAGGTGATCTGCGGTGTGGCTGTGTTTCTAGGTCTCCACTGGGGTTTGAAGCCCTCAAAGGGCTTGGTGTTCTCTCTTGTACTCTGAGAGTCATTTGACCTCCCCACTCCCTAGGTTACAGGGCTAGGTGCATGCCGTAAGCACCAGTAAGGGCTCCTTGAACCTTTAAATCTCATCTTCCTTGGGTTTCCAGAAGTTTCCTGAAGTGAGGCTGTGTGGTTTGTGTAGGGAAGAAACCTGGCTGGGGGCTCTTCTTTTGAGCCCATACCCGAGTGAGGGTCTCTGGCAGGGAAGGGACCATTTTTTTTTTTTTATTTTTTTAACTAATCTCTACACCCAACGTGGGACTCGAACTCAAGACACTCAGATTGAAAGTCATGGGCTGTACTGACTGAGCCAACGAGGTGCCCAGGAAGGGACCATTCTTATGGAAAAGAAAAGGCAGACGGTGTGGGGAAGTTGAGATGAGACTGTTGCCCTCAGGTGTTCCCTCCCCTCAGCCCTGGGCTTGGCCAGGGAAGGGGGCCCCCACTTTCTGGCTGTCATCACTTCTGTTCTGCCCAACCTGGAGACTGGGAGCCAGCATGACGTCTAGACCCAGTTTGAAACTAACTCACTGCACAGCCCTGGGCAAGTTACTTAATTTGTCTGAATTAATTTACCTTTAGCCCCAAACTCCTCATCTTTAAAATGGGGCCAGAGACCCCCTAGCCCTTGAGGGTGTTTTGAGGGTTAAATGGGAGAAAATCAGTAGAAGGCCTGTGGCCCAGGATATGGCACAGAGGGAGTACTGTCAGTGGAGCTTTGATTACGAGCCTTCCCCCATGGCCAGGACCCCCCAGAGCTGCGTTGGAAGCCAGGTGGCGGGCCGTGGGAAGCTGGGCAGGCAGGCACCCTTCACTGGAAAGCTGGGGGCTTTGTCCTCAACCCTTGCCCACCAGCCACTCCTCAGTCCCATGGACCGTCCACACGCAGGGTCAGGAAATGGCAGGCAGGGCGTATGGAGGCTTGGGCCTGCTGCCTGCCAGGCCTCTGGGAGGGCAGCCAGTGGTTTGCTAAGAATAGGCCCAGATCATGGGTCTGCCTCCCAGCGGGGAGCCGTGTGCCTCCCCGGTATGGGCCAAGGTGCTTGCCGGCCCTTTTATGTTTCTTGCAGCTGGCTCTCCCCACAGGAGCGGGCCTGGGAGCAGCAGCAGCCTCTTCTTGGGTTTTTGGCTGGGACATGGGGAAAGAGAAGGCCTGGGAAGCACTGACCATTCAAATCTCCAAGTTCCTCTTCCACTCAGAGATTGTCACCAGCTCCCTGATCATCTTCCTACCTGCCAGTGGATCTGCAGTGGCTAAGAACACAGGTTCTGGAACCATACCACTAGGGTGTGAATTTCGGGTCCCACACACATTAGCTGTGCGCCCCTGGCAGCTCACTTACTTTCTCTGTGCCTGATTTCCTTGTGTAGCAGGGTTAATGCTAGTAACTTGCTTAGAGGGATGTCACAAGGATGAAAGGAGGTGGTGCCTGGAGAGTCTGTGGGGTCACGTGCAGCTCCTAGTAAGTGCTCCATGAACATTGGGGGGCTACTGTGATTACCGTGATTACTGCTTTCTCCGCAGAGGGGGAGATGGGTGAGGCCAGTCTGGCTTGCACGGTGCCTCCTGGTCAGAAGGCACCAGTATGCAAGCTTCTCGATGGGGGTTCCTGGCCCTGGGTTCAGTATGAGGTACAGGGGACCACAGGTGAGAGAGACCCAGTCCCTGCTGGGTGATGGAGGCACATGCATACATTATACCATACCTGATGGGCACCTTCCCAGGGCCTGTACTAGCTGTGATGGGAGCTGGAGGGAGGGAATGACCTGCCTGGGGGTGGGGTGATGCATTAGGCGGGCTTCAAAGGATGGATAAGAGTTTGCAAAGGTGAGGGAAGGCTTCCCAAGCAGAAAAAGCAGCCTGTGCAGAGGGGTGACAGCTTGGTGTGTTTAGGAACGTGAGCAGATCCATGCGCCTGGGGAGGGGACCCACACTTAGCCTCTCGCCCTGTCACGAAAGCCCTTGTATGCTGGGACCTTCTGTCCCTCCCACTCTGGGCTCAGAGGCAGCCCTGGTTTCCCTGTTCGGACACAAGCTGGAGGCCCACCAGAATTCTGTGCCTCTCACTTCCCTTTTAGGAGTCATATTTGCTGTCCCCTCATTCTCCAGAGACCCTCCTGCCACTTAGAAATGCCTGCCAGCCCTCCCTGGGGGCCCTTGTTTTTGAGCTGGGGCTCCAGACTGCTCCTGCCCCAGGAACATGCCTATTTTTGCTCTTAGTTAAGATACCCGGGGGTTAATAGGTCCCCCGACTTGGGAATGAACTGAAGCCGTTGAAAACTCCTTAGCTTTTCCTAAGGATTAAATGTCTAATGGTGGAATTCTGGGACCTTGTTAACGTGTTCTGTATGTTTCCTCTAACTGGCGTATGGACTGGCTTTATCTCCGAGGGGTGCCCCTTCTTGGCTGGGGTCCTCCGACGAGTGAGACACAGGGCATCTGGGGTTACCTACATGCCCAAGGCAGGCATCAGGGAGCATCTGGGAACTGGGTGTGTCATGCTGACCCTGTGGGCTCCCAGGGAGGTAGGGCTTTTAGAAATTCCAGAAGGGAGGGTGTGGTGCTGGGAGCACTGTGGGTCCACCGTTCAGCCTCCCGCCCT